TACTGAGTACAATATTGTATAACTGTAATAATTCAACTGTAAACCTAAAAATTTACAGCCAAATTTGAAAGAGATGCATCCTACCTCAGGAAAACGTTATTGAATATGTCAATTGTGTTGTAATGATATGCTTCTTCTAAGTATGTTGTTATTAAATAAATCATTTTTAAAAATTTAAAAAAAAAATGGCTCTTACAGAATGAATGAAAAAAATCAATCTTAAAAGAATATAAAGCCTGGTCTGGTGGCAGAGGCCTGTAAACCCAGGAGGCTGGAGGCAGAAGGTTCTTATGGGCAAAATCTGGGCTATAGAGATCTAGCTCAAGGACAGCTTGAGCAAGTTTGTGAGACCTTGCCTCAAAATGAAAAATAGAATAAAAGCTGTGGGGCTCTTACAGAATGAATGAAAAAAATCAATCTTAAAAGAATATAAAGCCTGGTCTGGTGGCAGAGGCCTGTAAACCCAGGAGGCTGGAGGCAGAAGGTTCTTATGGGCAAAATCTGGGCTATAGAGATCTAGCTCAAGGACAGCTTGAGCAAGTTTGTGAGACCTTGCCTCAAAATGAAAAATAGAATAAAAGCTGTGGGTATAGCTCAGTGGTAGAACACTGGTCTAACGTGTGAGATCTTGGGTTTCATCTCCCGTACAGGGGGGAAATTGTGTGTGTGTGGGGGGGTGTGTGTGTCTGCACATTATATGTTATATGCTATATCATTCGTATCATTTATATAGCATTTCTGAAATGGCAACATGATAGAGATGAAGAACAGAATAGTGGCTGCTTGGGTTGTGACCTGGTTGGAGTTTACTGGGATAGGCAGCATGATGTATCTTTATAGTGATGGAGCCACTCTAAATTTTGACTGTGATGGTAAATGCACAAATAGTAAAAATTAATTACATATACCCATTCACACATATGAGTAGAAATAAAACTGATGATTGTATTAGTGTCAACTCCCTGACTGTGATAATTGCCCTATATTTAGCAAGGTGTTACCACTTGGAAAACTCAGTAAAGGCCCAGCAGCTACATGTAAAGCTATATTTTTTTCAAACAGTACAGTTCTTGCAGTTATAATATTTTACACTAACAAAATTTAGATTGAAGTATTAAAGAAAGAATACACATTTTTAATGTACTTTGCAATTAAAAAGGAAAGATTTAGAGAATTTTAGCTTTATTTTAAAATTTCTTTTGATTCATAGCTGTTACATAAAAAATTATACATATTTCCAGATATGGTGGTGCATGCCTTTCACCCGAGTACTTGGGAGGCAGAGGCAAGTAGATTTTTGTGAGATTGGCTTCGATCTATATAGTGAGTTCCAGGCCAGCTGGGGCTACAGGGAGACCCTGTATCAAAAAACAAACAGCCAAAAAATTATACATGTTACTGGGGTTTGTATTTTGATACTTGTATGTATTACGTAAGGATTACTATCATTTCTGTACTTTGAAAATTTCAAAGTCCTTCCATCTAGCTTTTGAAATGTTTAGTGCATTATTGTTGTCTATAGTAACTCTTCTGTGTAATTACACCACAACTTCTTAATCCTATCTAAAGTATAACTTAGTACAATCTTCTCTTACCCCACTTTCCCCAGCCTCTGGTAACTACTATTCTCAGCTTCTTCGAGGTGTTTATTTTTGTGGTGCTGAAGATTAGATCTGAGGCCTTGTACATGCTGTGAAAGCATGCTACCACTGACCAACATCTCAGACTAATAAACTTTAAATTTGTCCTATGAGTGAAATCATGCAGTATTTATCTTTCTGTGTGTCTGGCTTATTACTTAACATGATGATCTCCAGTTCCATCCATGTTGCCTCAAATGACCAGATTTCATTCTTTTTATGGATGAGTACTGTTTTTATTATTTATTTATTTATTTATTTACTTATCTCTATCAATCAGCTTATGGACTGTGCCATTTCTTGGCCATCGTGAATAGAGCTTCAATGAACCCTGTAGAGGCATGTTTCTCTTCAGCATACTGATTTTATTCTGTAGATATAGTCCCACTGGTGGGGTTGCTGTGTCATGGTAGTTCTGGGGTTTTTTTGTTTTTTGGGTCTTTTTGAGACAGGGTCTCCCTGTAGCCCCAGCTGTCCTGGAACTCACTATGTAGACCAAGCTGGCCTTGAATTTACAGAGATCAGCTTGCCTCTGCTTCCCGAGTGCTGGGGTTAAAGGTGTGCGCCACCACGCCAGGTATGTTCTGTTTATTTTTAAGATATAGAGATAGTTTATTTAAAAAGGGAAAGCACTCCTAAGAATGGGACTGGACTAGTGAGCTGGAGAAAGGCTCAAAAAGACCTATTTTAAAATTTTTTTAGGTGCCTCCATACTAGTTTCAGTAATGGCTACACTAATAAATTCCCATCAGAAGTGTACAAGCGTTTCCTTTTCTCTGTATCCTGACTAGCACTCTTTCTTTGGTCCTCCCTCCCCCCAAGTGTATGTGATTTGTTCGTTGGTTTAAATTTATTTTTATTTTTATATGTATGAGTGTTTTGCCTGCATTTGCACGCATACCTGCAGTGCCCACAGAGACCAGAAGAGGGCATCAGATCCCCTGGAACTGGAGTTAGGGATGGTTGTTATGTACCATGTGGGTGCTGGGAGTTGAACCCAGGTCCTGTGTCAGAACAGCCAGTGCTGTTTACTGCTGAGACATCTCTTTAACCCCCTTTGTTTTGTTTTGAGTCAGGATCTCACTAAATTGCCTAGGCTTGCCTTGAACTCATAATACAACCCAAACTTGAATCCTGCCAATTGTCCTGCCTTGGCCTCCCAAGCTCTAGGGTTACAGGTGTACAGCACTATACCCAGCTTCTTTGTTATTTTTGGTGATAGATAGTATCTTATTGTAGTCTTGATTTGTATTCCCTGATGATTAAAGATGTTGAGCTTTTTTTTTTTTTTCATGGACTGTATGTATTTTGAGAGTGTCTATTTAGAATCTCTTGTCTGTTTTTTTTGCCTGATTATTTGGGGATTTGCTATTGAGGTTTCTACATTCTTTAAATATTCTGGATATCCACCCCTTGTTTAGATGGTTAGCTTGCAAAGAGTAAAAATCCTATTAGCAATTAGAACCTTTAATGGTAAGCTTAACAACCCAAGGGCCAGTTACCGTTTTGTACACAAGAATATTACCTGTGAGAGTAAAGATATCATTATCCTATTTCTTTATCTGGCATAAAAGTTTTTTCTCTCACCCTCACTGTTTTACAAAGGCATGGAATAACAAGGCCAAGGGAGAAACCACCAGTGATGGAGCCGAAGCAAAGAAGCGAAAACGTGTGGTTGATGAAAGTCATGAGACAGAAAACCAGAAAGAAGCAACAAAGGAGAATCTGAGTTTGCCTAAAAAGCAAAAAGCTTTAGATCTTCCTGCTAATCAGAAACTGTCAGCTTTTGCATTTAAGCAGGAATAAAAGAGGAAGAAAGTGAGCTTGGGAAAATGATGGAACTTTTGTTCATCTCTTGATGAGTCTGGACTTCTATTAATCTTTAGAAAACACACCATTACATATGTATTTTTAAAGAGTTTAAAGAGAGCTTTGTTTTTATAGGGGTGTAGCTCAGTGGTACAGTGCTTGCCTAGCATGCACAGGCCCTGGACTCCATCCTCATCACCACAAAAAATTAAAAAGGCAATGCAGTGATTATATTGGGATCAGAAACAGCCTGTTTAAGAGCTATCATCTTTGCAGATTACTCTGCCTCCTGTGGGAGAATTATGATTGCAGTTACTGACCAGAGGCTACCATCATGTCCCAGTGGAAGCCATTTATATTGTTTCTAACCTTTAAAATTATTAAAAGCCAAGAACTTAAAACTTCTGTGAGTTGAACAACCGTCTTGGAGTTTCCTCCCTTTGCTTATACTGCATAGTATACACGCCAACCTAAGATAAGTTACCACAGACTGCTCTGTGTCTACTGTACCTCAGGGACCATGACTTTTAATATGGGCCCCAATGTGTAAATAACCTTGTAAATCAGATATTTTATTTTGTGTGTTTTGGAACTTCATATATGGCTTTCAATTATGTTTGTATAACCTGGATTAGTTTTAGGTAAATAAAACTTATTCATTTGCATATTGGCTTAACTTTGTATCCCCAACGCCCGATTCCTCCACATGGTGTGCATAGTAGAGAAGAGCTGAGGACCTTGCTGTGAGATCATGACTGCCTTTGGCATCCATGCATCTGTGATGCCCTGCTTACCAGCCGCATCAGTTCCTTGCTGAACAAGTCTTTGAAGGCTTAGTAAGGCAATGGTTAGAGGAAGGAGAAGTATCTAATTGCTCTTTTATTTTGAACAGCCAGGGTTTGTTTCATACATTTTTGCCCATTTTTGGAGTGTGTGTGTCTGTATTCACATGTGTGAGTGCAGGTGCGTGTGCCATGGTGTGCCAAATCCACGTGTTCCAATTATGACCGAATAACAAACCATCCTAGCATTTAATGGCTTAAAACAATGACAACACTAATTTTGTTTGCAAACCTGAAATTTGGCTATAACTCAGCAGCAGTTTATTTGCTCTTGATGTTGGCTGGAGCTGGAATCATTTGAAGGTTCTCTTTGAAGTATCTGGCAGATGGTATTGGATTCTGTCCATCTTGACCACTCCTTCATTTGTTAGGTTGATTTGGACTCTCAGCACAGTGGCTTGGCTGAAGGATACCCACAGAACTGGGAGTTACATCTTTTCTAGTCTAGCATCAGAAGTCTGCTTCACATAGTCAAGGGGTGGGAACTTAGCCCTTTCTTTTTCATGAAGGAATGTTGACATGAAAGATCACGTGGACTCAGGCACATTGGTGTGCTCATCTTTGGAAAATACAAATGGCCACTGTTAAATAATTTTTCCCAGGGAGATGTGAAGAAACGTCCACTCATACCAGATAGGGCACCAGTGACAGACCAAAGAAGTGATTCCATCCAAATCTGGCTTGGTGAACAGATTAATATAATTGGGTTTACTAACAGGAGCATGAATGGGGTTTGTGTAGAGAAGCCTGGGCAACTTAGGGACAGCTACACCACTGGAGGAGAGTCTTGCAATTGCTAACTGGTTTATGTCCTCTCCCCATCTACCATGCATGCAGTGAGAACTACTCCCCTTCCATGAGGGAACATTAACAGGCCCAATCTTGTTAGGGTCTTGTGCAGGTAACCATACCTGCTCTAATTTTAAGATACAAAGAGCCAACTATACCATGTCTGCAGGACACAATAGACTTGTTGAGCGAACTATAGTGTTTATGGCCTCATGGAGTAACTACAGTGAACAGGAGACAGCCCAGGACCATCCACAGTGAGATGTGTAATGGAAAGTTCTCCCCTTCATGAAATCAAGACCCTGAAGGACTGCTGCCTGCTGAAGGGTTTTTACTATTTTTGCAGTGCTCTGGATTGAACCCCAGGGCCTTGCATATGTGAGGCAAGTGCCTTTCTACTGAGCTATGCCTTTAACCTGTCTCTGGTTTAAGATATTATAAATAAAAAATAAGCTGATTTCTAGCTGTCTGCCCCCTCCCCATGAACTGCATAGATAACTCTATCTCAAACATTGCAATAATTGGGGTATCTATATTATTCAATATGTATCTTTTTTTTTTTTTTTTTTTTTTTTTTTTTTTTAAAAAAAAAAAAAAAAAAAAAAGAGGACGATAAATCTTTCACTGTGATATATCAAAACCTGGAACTCACTATGTAGACCAGGCTGACCTCGAACTCAGAAAGATCTGCCTGCCTCTGCCTCCCAAGTGCTGGGATTAAAGGCGTGCTCCACTACGCCCAGCTCAATATGTATCTTTATAATAAGGAATTAATAACCATAACTGGCCCTCACACCAGTGTGTAGTATAAATTCATGCTCTGTAGAGATAAAAGACAGAAAGAAAATCTGCCATTTGAAAACAATCCAAGCCTACAATGCAGAAATTGGCCTTGTTCTGGGGAAGACAAGATGTGGTTCATCCAGTTTCTGTCTAATCTATGGTAGTATTTACAGTGAAAACACGGTGGGATAGACAGCAACAAGGAGCACAGAAGAGCCAGAAGTCAGTTCTTAGACCAATAATTTGGAAAAATCTCTTGCAAGAGTAATGAAAGTGAAAAAGCATAAATAAATGATCTACAGATGAAGATTGTTAGCAGGCATTTTTGGAAAGGCTGGTGATGCCCGTTTCATGTATCAGCTTGACAAGGCTATGGTTTGGTGTTCAAATACCAACCTATATGTTATAAAGGGACTTTACAGATCATTTTAAAGTCCATTATTAAGAGACTGTAAATAGCCAGGTGTGGTGGCGCATGCCTTTAATCCTAGCACCCTGGAGGCAGAGGCAGAGGCAGGTGGATGTCTGTGAGATTGAGGCCAGCCTGGTTTCCATAGGGAGTCCAGGCCAGCTGGGGCTACAGAGAGAACGTGTCTCAAAAAGACCAGAATTAATTAAAAAGAGACTGTAAATAAGGGAGAATATTCTAGATAATGGGGTGGGGCTGGTTAGGTCAGTTGAAAGGCAAAAATGAGGCTTCACTGAGGAAGAAGGAATTAACCCTGTGGACAGCATCAGCTCATGCCTAAGATTTCCAACCTATCTTTGGGAAGCCCTACTCTATGGACTTGGGGTTTCAGACCTGCATTGCAGCCCATATTTGTAAGAGTCAGTTCTTTCTTTGCAATAGATTCATCTCCTTCTCCTCTCTTTGTAGTTACCAGTCTTCTTTCAATGAAAGGATGAAAGTGATTGCAGAGCTGTTTTTACACACCTTCTTACCATAGTGCATTTAGGACTATTATATGCCATACATTGAAAGTGGCTGAAAACCAACCTGTTTACAGAGGTTGGAAGATGCATTCTTCCCAGTTAGAAAATGAGCAGAAGATGAGCACATTGACTAGGCAAAACACATGAAATTATGTTCAGGCACACACACACACACACACATATGATAATATACATATAGCCTTTAATCCCAGCACCCGGGAGGCAGAAGCAGGTAAATCTCTGTGAGTTCAAGGCCAGCGTGGTCTATATAGCACATACATGTATATTCTTGAAGACTAGTACAAAGCAGATTAGTGCCAGAATGTTAAAATGATCTGCCCAGGGTTGTAAATGGTCTCCTGCAGAGTGTGCCTGTGAAGGCAGCTGGCTTACAGTTGATAGGTTTTTTTTGGAGGGAGGAGTATTAATGTGGTTCAGAGAGATAGAGGCTCTTTAACGTTTCCCTCTAAAGTTAAATGTTACAGTAGCTGATAGAAATTACAGCTTGGTGTACTTAGACTGTATGAAATCCTTCAAACTGCAATGAAAAATAAAACCCACAAACATGCAATCCAGTTAGAAAATAAGCCAAAGACGTGCACAGACCTCAGCTAGGATACACAGACAGCAAATAGGTTACATGGAAAGATGCTTGGTTACAGCCGTTCCAGAAAGGCAAATTAAGATTACAGTGAGGTATCACACGTCTATCAGAGTAATTAAAATGAGGAATAGTAGCCCAGCGTGATGGCGCACGCCTTCAATCCCAGCACTCGGGAGGCAGAGGCAGTTGGATCTCTGTGAGTTCAAGGCCAGCCTGGTCTACATAGTGAGTTCCAGGACAACTGGGGCTACAGGGAGATCCTGTCTCAAAAAGACTGGAAAAAAAAAAAAAAAAAAAAAGGAATAGTAGTAACAGCAAATACTAGTGAAGATGCAGGTAAACTATGTATCCGTGCATTGCTGGTGGGAATATAAAATCTCACACTCTAAAGGATAGTTTGGCAGTTTCTTTCAAAACTAGAATGGAGCCATACATAGTAGTAAGCACCTTTAATACCAGAACTTACAGGGGGAGGCAAGATCAGAAGTTCTAGGTCATCCTTGGCTGCATAGCAAGTTCGAGACCAGCCTGGGCTAGATGAGACCCTGTTTCAAAAAGCAAACAGCTGGGGATATAGGCCAGTTGGTGGTGTACATGGCTAGCATGCACAAAACCCTGGGTTTGATCCCTAGCACCACATAAAACGAGATGCCTTGGCTACATAGCAAATTCAAGGCCAGCATGGGCTACAGAGACCTTGTCTCAAAAACAAACAGAACAAAACAGAAAAACCCCACTAAAATGGGCTTTTATATAACCCAGCAACTGTCCTCTCCCACATTTACCCCAAAGAAATGAATACTCATTTTCACATAAGAACTTGTGTGTAACTATTTACAGTAACTTTATTTAGACTAGTCTCAAACTATAAACTGCCTAAAAGTCCGTCAGTGGGTGAGTGGCTATTCAAATGATGGTATGTACATGTAATGGTATACTGCACAGCGAACTGGCTCAGCAAACTTACCTAAGTTACTCCATTTTGTTCAAAGCCATTTTAGCAGCAACTTTGCTCCACACCAAAAGGAAAAGGGGGCCAACCTTGGGTCTTGGGAAATTGTCCTAGTCATGAACCATGGAATGTACTAATTCCAGACATTCTACATCTGGCTAACCGCTTGTTTTTGCTTCTGTAACTCGCTTGCTATTTTAGGTCATCTTGACACAAAGTATTAGACCACCTATTATTGTCTGACCACCGGTAACTGCTGCTTTCAGCTTTCTTACTATACTTGTTATGGCTAGGGAGTTGACTAATTTTAAAATTACAAAGTTGATTGCCAAATTATATGATTGTATCACTTGTCTGTATAATGATTGGTTGTTGATTAATAGATTCAAAATTCTGCTATGTTGTACAAACCTGATTGGTTCACAAGTGTCCTGTTTGCATAATATTTCTGCAATCCTATAAAAACTCTGACCCGACAATCATCAGGGCTGCATCTACTCCCGAGATAGACAGTCCAGCCGGTCGAAATAATAAACATTTACCTTGCTACTTTTCTTAAAGTGGTGCTGGTGATAAATTGGAATTAAAGGTGAAGAGAGGAAGGATATGGTTATAAAATCGTGATGGTGGCTGTATTAGTAACTGTATTAGTAACTGTTGAGTAGCATTAAACCAAATACCCAAGAAAATAAAAGAGGGAAGATTTATTCTGATCATGGCTTCAAAAGGTCCATTTTAAGGTTTCTTGGCCCCATGTGCTTGGGCCAAGCACAATCATGATGCACATCATCCTGAACAGGAAGCACAAAGAATGGAATCTGGGATAAGCTGCAGCCCTAAGGGGTCTGGAGAGATGCCTCAGAGGTTAAGAGCACTGACTGCTCTTACAGAGGACCTAGATTCAATTCCAGCACCCACATGGCAGCTAACAACTGTAACTCTGGTTCCAGGGGATCTGATGCTGTCTTTTGACTTCCATGGGCATTGCACAACATGGGTGCACTTACATGCAGGCAATAACTCACACACATAAAATAAAAATAATTTTTTTGGTCTTTTTGAGATAGGGTCTCCCTGTAGCCCCAGCTGTCCTGGAACTCACTATGTAGACCAGGCTGGCCTTGAACTCACAGAGATCCGCCTGCCTCTACCTCCCAAGTGCTGGGATTAAAGGCATGTGCCACCGCGCCCAGCAATAAAAATAATTTTTAAAAATATTGTAAAAAAAGCTGTAGCCCTAAGGTCATGTTCCCAGTGGCCCATGCCCTCCACCTAGGCCCCACCTCCTAAAAATAAAACACACACACACACACACACACACACACACACACACACACCAGAATAGCCCTACCACCTGGGACCAAGCAGTCAACATGTGCTGTGGGAAATATTCCCTATTCATAACAGTAGTAGCATTGGGTATCTTGATTTTGATGTGGTTTCACAAGGCTATACGTAGAGAATTGGCATAGCACCACACACAGACACAAAAGAGTCTACATTGGTAAAATGTGAAGACGTTCAATGGGTTGTACCAGTTCCTTTTTTGGTTTTGATTATTGTACTGCTGTTCTATAGAATTAATGCGGAGGATGGCTGGTAGGAGAGAGTAGCTGTGGACATCCTGCAGCTAGCAACGAGGAGTCCTAGTGTGGCACTTGGAGCCTAGGGGAGGAAAATTACAGTCTGCTTTTTTCAAAATTTTTTAGATTTGGGGCTGGAGAGATGGCTTAATGGTTAGGAACACTAGCTGCTCTTGCAGAGGACCCAGATTCAGTCCCCAGTGCCCAAAAATCTTTATCTCCAGTTCCAAGGGATCCACCTCCCTCTTTCTGGCCTCTCTGGGCACTGCATGACACAGGTGCACTTACATACATGCAGGCAAAAACATTCATGTATATAATTTTGGCATTTATTTATTTATTTGAGGCATGTGAGTTTGTAGGTCAGAGAACACCTTACAAGAGTTCTTTCCCTCCTTCCACCTTGTGGGTTCAAACTCCATGGTCAGGCTTGGCAGCAAGTGCATTTACCAACCAAACCATCTCACTGGCCCATGGGAAAGTTGAAATTTCTCTTTTTTTAAAAGACGGCCTCATGCCAGGCTTGGTGGCAGATGCCTTTAATGCCAGCACTTGGAGGCAGAGGCAGGCAGATCTGAGTTCCAGGCCAGCCTGGTTTACATAGCAAGTTCAGGCTATTTGGGGCTACAGGGAGACCCTGTCTCAAAAAGACCAGGAAAAAAAAAAAAAATTTTAGCCTGCAG